GGTGCATATCCTAACTGCACTTATCTAGGTTTTCTGGGTGCTGATGCAATCAAGAAAAAAAAGACAATTAAATACCAATGAAACAACCATTTCTTATCATCATCGCCCATGCGCAAAACAATCTGGAAACTCTATTTCATTTTATGACTGACAAAAACTACCAATGTCATCTAATTTTGTACAATGTAGGTTGAAAACCCTTTATCCTGACACTTATGCGGATTGGATACTCAAAGCTGTATTGATCTTTATGGAAGTTATGGGACATACTGAATGATGACAGAGCACTTAGTCTGGAGAAACAAAATGGCAGTCCACAGTGGAGTCTATCTAGTGACTTAATCTATTTGAAAAGGACTTTTAATATTATTGGAGGGCATTCAATGACAGTAGTTTGGAGCTACTTCTACATTACATGTACTTTACTCTTTCTTTTTTCCATCAAAATGTATACCATTTGATAATATTCAATCATGCTTCATAAATGTAATTAACTGACCACAGGGGAAGGAGCTACCGGTGCTCCTGAATCTTAAATACGCTCTGACTCATTGAAAGTGGATGCAAAGACATTGTGCCTCAGAATGAAGAGGAGTAATTGTGTGAAATGAATTTGGCCAGTGAAACACAGCTGCTACACATTCTAAAGCAACGGGGACGTCCATGGCTTAAATAATGACAGAAGATACATGTAGACATGTACCATCATTGTAACTAAAGATGCCACTTTTGTTATACAACAGAATGATATACATAAACAGATTGAGATAATTTTTGAATTGTGGATATGTCATATAATACCTAGCTGTCTTTTGGTGGAATTTTACAGCTGTCATTCTTTTGAAGCCTCGGTGCAAATTGTAATAAAAAATTATGCATGACAAAAGTGACCATATATTAGGCTTAGCTAGGTTAGCAAGTGTGACAAAACCTATGGCCCGTTGAATAATTTATCTGTAAACCAACATTACATGTACAGTTTCAATGTTCTGGGGATGCCAGGAGTAAAGGTTAACCCAATCCTTTGGGATGAAAAAAAAATTGCAGGTGCTAATCTTTCTGTCTTATTATTCTATATTACTCGTAATCAATTGTGCAAGCCTCTGGGATTACTGATGCTGCATTAGTAGATTGCTTTAAATTCTTAACAGTTGTTCTTTTATGTGTGTGTATAGAAATGATAATACAGTGTTGACTGTGATGCAAGTGACAACACATCTAGCTTCTTGCTTTCTCTGGTAAATTCTACATTTTCAAAATTTTTCTGATGAATGAAAATGAGTCACAATGTAGTTGCCTTGGACCAAACAATCATATCAGGCTTTCAGAGTTTGTCACAATCAAAGTTTTACCTTTTTCTTGGCAGTGTTGCTCACACTCACTCACTCACTATCCTGGTTTTGATTATACTGCTACATACTAAAAATATGATATATGTCAATACATTCTTTAAACCAAACCAACCAATCATGAGAGATGACTTGGAGCTGCTTTGACAGAACATTTAGCAATTTCACCTGCCAGCATAATCCATACATTGAATAATTCAATTTATTGAATTATTGAATCATTTTTATTGCAATGCATAATGCTGTGGTTTTAAAAATGTTTTTCCCATTATAATCCCAAATGAAAAGCAGCGTTAGCATTACATTGTGTATAACCATGCCCAGCTAATAATAAGGTTCAGCGTTAGTGTTATTCCATTTGGGAATTCAATGCATGGCCTCCTTGAATACAGCATATTGATTTTCGGGGTGGGCTATCCGCGATGTGAATTGGGGGCCATTGGAAATTATGATTGTGTCATCATGACACAAAAGACAGTCGTCCCATCAAAGAACTACCTGTTCGAATTTGCAAAATATTATCACCGATGTAATAAAAAGATATATCTTTCAACCCGCCCCGCCCTTTTTTTCAGGTAAAGCACTCCCTGTTGCGTCGAGAATGTCAATTTGTAGGTCCAATTAGCCCATATTTATTTGTGTTCTCTTCCCTTTACGTAGAATATTCCTCTCACCTCATTCTGCATGTAGGTGTACCGGTAGATATCTTCCGTGCCGTTGAATACGGAGCCCTGGTAGATCTGGGTGAACTCTGCGGGAATTTCTTGCCGTAGCTCTCCAGTTTGTCTTCGGACCCTGGCCGGTCCAGCCCCCGAGGACACACCCCCGGACGTCTCGACGGTTGAGATCGCCGTTAAAATCGCTGCCACCAAGACCACAAAGGTGGCCATTTCCTAAAAGATATCCACTACGTAACCCTGCAGTCTAACAAGTGGTTTCTACATGTTCCCGAAGAATAAAAGACAGGTTTTAATGTTGGATCACTGCGCATCTCATTATGGAGATTCTGAATTCTCCAATTTCACTTCCGGTTTCTTTGCTCCCCTACGTCATATAGTTTGAGGCCATTGATTGGGCAATACTGCTAAATCATTTTCTCTGATTGGAGAACGTAGAGACAATCAATATTACTCTAAGAGCTTGCATCCTTCTGATTGGTCAGGAGAAATGACATTCGAGTAAGCACCACATGGCTAGTGCGCATGTCCGAATATGAGCATTGAGCAAAGGCATGAGGCTGAAGGCATGGACCATTCTTAGAAGAAGTTTTGACGTTAGTTGTTGACAAGTTTAGAGTCTTCAAATTCTGATGGAGAACCAACCGGCACCCCCAGAAATCCCCCAGCCGCTCATCAAGCTGGTGAGACTCATAACGCGGGGGTTTTATGGCATAGAACACGCGCTTGTTATGGACATCTTGGTTCACAACAGGTAAGACCGTAAGACCGAGGTCCTTGGTATATGGTAAGGCAGTAGGATTCATACCTTTTGACCCAAAATCTTCAGGGAAAAAAATTTCTGTAGAGGGGTCCCCTTTTAGTTTTACTACAATTACAATACACTTCAGTTATAAATTTAAAAGTCTATCTGATGGACATGTATTTACCTTTAGTATTTTGCACATGAATGTAGCATGTTCTTGTAGCTATGAATTATGTACGAGCAAGGACATTATACACAGTAGGACATTAGACACTGTGTATAATGTCCTTGGTACGAGACATTCACTATTTACCTAACCATCCCTTTTGTTAATGGCAGGTATATCAAGGAAGAGGACCTACTAGAGAAACTGAAGTTTGAACGGAAACATCTGCGGATGATCATCACCCAACTTAAGAATGACCAGTTTCTCAAATCCCGTATGCGAATGGAGACCCACTCGGACGGGCATACCACTCGCCACAATTACTACTCCGTCAACTACAAGATGGTGGTCAACGTGGTGAAGTACAAGTTGGATCACATGAGGAGGAAGATTGAAATGGACGAGAGGGACTCGACAAACCGAGCATCGTTCCTTTGTCCAATGTGTCAGAAGACGTTTACAGACTTAGAAACGGACCAGCTGTTTGATCCTCTGACTGGGACATTTAACTGTACATACTGCACAACCGAGGTACAGGAAGACCAGAGCAGAGACCAGGAGAAGGACTCGCGTACGCTGTTGGTGCGCTTTAACCAACAGATCGAACCCATCTATCAGCTGTTGCGGGAGCTGGAGGACATGAGCCTGCCACAGGAGGTCTTGGATCCCGACCTCGTCCTCGGTCTCATACCCAATCGGGTGGTCTCGAGCGGAGGCAGGCCGGGTGATTCCGGAGGCAGCCGCGGCTGGGCTGACGGCACGCAGAGGTTGGGATTGGACCTGAACCAAGAGGTCACCATTAACATGGAGAACAAGGACACTGCGTCTGCAGCCTTACCTCCCACTGAAGTGAAGGAGCGACCAGTCTGGCTGAGGGACAGCACCATACACGAGGAAGAAGTGTCTGTGTCGTCAGACAGCATGAAGGAACCAGGTATAATGGAGTCCCGGCCCAGCGCACAACAGGACAACAACGACATCATGCGAGTCCTCCTGGCACACGAGAAGAAGGGGGCCAGCTCGGCCGTCTCCGCTGCCATTCCGTCGGCGGGAGTTGCCGAGAGCGACAGTGACAGTAGTAAGTCCGACACCGAGGACTCCAACAACTTCTTTGGAATGATGGCACAGCCTGGCATGTCTGGTACTAACCCACAGGAGGTGGAAGAGATGCAGGATGATGATGATGAAGAGGAGGACATTCCCATGGTAACGGTGGGAGGAGAAGAGTACCCATATCACCAGGTCAGCGAGAGGCCCGACCTCATCGCACAGATGACGTCATCAGAAAAAGAGGCTTACATGAAGATTGGACAGCAATACTACGCTCATTTGTATGACTAATGAACACCTCTTCATCTTGTTCCTGGACTTCAAATTGTTGTAAATTGAATGAGTTCTATATTTGGTTGGGTAGTAACTAAACCTCTGTCTGTAAGCAGTTGTAGATATGGAAAAACAAACACTAATAAATTTAGTTCATCAAACAGAAATAAAGATAGAAGTAAAGCAAAGCCCTCTCTGCCCTATTCTTGCAGTAACGTTATATAGTGTACTTAGTGTATAGTGACAAGTGACATAGATGTATAAATAAGGAGACATGAGTTGAACAGCTGGCAACTTTTTAAGAATACTGACTGGTGGAACTACTGGTAGACAAGTGTCTGAACCCTAAAAAATGTTCAAAACATAAAATACCACTAAAAAGAATAGGTTTATTCTATAACACTGCTGAACACTGCTGATTACTGCGACGGTCACAACCCGCCGTACGTGCTTCTGCGTGCTGTCTACGTGCAAAAACGTGGGCAAACGCAGGGCATCCGTGCGTGGTGAGTACCACCTCCGTACGAAATCCTACGGATTTGGGAGCACGCAGACACGCCGTAGAACTTTAAGTGCATGTAAAACTTTTTCTACGTGCGGTCTGCGGATTCACCACCCGTGCGTGCGAGTACGAGCGACGCGCATGCCCCGTACGTGTCGTGCGAAAGAAGCATGTGTGAGTACGGCCTCCTTACGGTAAAGTTTCAATGGCATGGAGATCGTACGTTGTAAGCACGTACAACTCACCACTTGCGCAACGTACGATGCACGCAACCGCTCACGCCCAGACTTGGCGTGCAGACCACACTCTTACACTTTGTGCAACCGTGCGAGTGACGTGCGTAGACGCCACTCCTTCCCCACGTTTTCAGAAAAAACGTAGCAGACGTAGCCTCCAAAAAACGTACGGAGAAAAAGCACGTACGGTGGGTTGTGACCGTCGCTTAAGACGTAACTACGTGAACTACGTGATTTTAGCACCATAAGGAGACATGACCTGTTGGGCCTTATTTTGATGTATTGCTATTGACTGTGTGTAGTATATATTAATTAAATGTTTAATGTGTCTGTCATGCATAACATTTTTGCTCACAAATATTTCATGAAAGACCCATTCTTGTGATAGACATAATGTAATCCAGCAATAATAGGCCTCACCAGCATGCATAAAAAGGATCCACCACAAGTGAATTTACTATGCATTTTGATAATAGCAATTTCAATAGCTGTGGTGTTGTATTCTTTCCCAGATGACAGCTATGGTTTATCCACACTCCTGTTACAAAGAGCCTCTCAGTGGTCTGAAAGGACATGTCACAACAGGAACGTAAAGTATCCAACAATCACTGTCATCTCGGCCACACCGTGTGGGGTGTCAGTCTGAGTCATTCCTGTCTCGAAGAGATAGGTACAGGTAAATTCTGTCCAATAGTAAAATTTTATGACTAGCAAATACAGCAAGGAAACATCTTGTGGATACATATTCCTACCTGTAGGATTTTGGGTACAGGATTTTGATTGGTGACAGGTGTG